ACAGATCCATAGCCGAGAGAGAGAGAGAGAGAAAGAGAAACAGATAGAAATATCTAAAATAAATAAAAAATATTCCATTTGTGCAAGAACTAGCTTTTGAACAATCAAGCTGTTTCAACTGGTTGAGACTTCTGTAGTTTGTCTGTAGGGAATCCATCTTTCAGGATAACTTATTCCCAGAGATCCTTCATGAAACGTCTGGTTGGTATCTCAGAGCTTAGTGAAATCTTATAGAAGTGAAGAGTATAAAATGTAACCCTTCATCAAAGAAAAGCATTATAATAGAAAATTACATGAATTCACTTATTGCAAGCTTTTTCGTTGCTTTGGTTTATTGTATTGTGGAATGGGGGATTGACCCAAGAGTCTTGCATGTGCTGAGCCCAACTATAGACTCTTTGCATAATTTACTTGTGAAATGTGAACGCAGAGACTTCAAAGAAGCAGAGAACTGTGATTTTATTTTGAGGTTTGATGAAGTCTGAACACTGAAAATTGGTGCATGATTGAACAAAGTGAGTTGTGTGACTTAGCAAAGCACATCCCTCCAGACTCCTCTTAACATGTCTGTACGGTCATCCTTTTCCACGAGGAGCACCAAAGGCTGTTCTTTAGAGAAAGGCCAGACATTCTCTTCCATCCTCCTCTAGAGGACAACGGTGTGGGAAGCTCATGGACATTCTTCTCAGGCTGTGGTCTCAGATAATGAACCACCACATAATCAAGCTGTGTCCTACAGCCATCATAGAACCTTTTATATCTACACAGAGAAGAATTATTCAAAACAAGGGTTTGTATCTACTGTGGTGGAACATAAATGATTTATGAATATTTTGATGAGTAAAGTACCCACATTTTATGTCAAGTTGTGGAAATGCCATGTCATGGCTGTTGGCATCAGTGCCATACATAGTATTACATATGAAAAGAGATGTTAACGGATGACCTGTGTCCCTGTACACTCTGCGGATTGACGGAATTGCTCATTTTGCTTGACTCTGTGAGGAACACAATTGTTTCTTTGCTGGTAAATTATCTTATATTCCTTGCATAAAAATATCCACTTGCACATTTATATACTTAGGTGGAATAAAAAATTTATATTTTTAAAATTTTTTTGTTTAGTTTCTTTGTGTGTGGGGGGAGGTCATGTGTACCACTGAGTGTATGTGCCCTTTCTTTATCCTGCGTCAGGGGTCAAACTCAGGTTGTCAGGCTTGGGAACAAGTGCCTTTATTTGGGAACTATCTCATGAACCCAATTTGCAAATTCTTAAGTTTGTATATAAAATTGTAGCAGGTATCATCATCTCTGGCTGGGATGCTCTATGTGGCAAACCTATGCTGAGCGCTGTTACAGTTATCTAGGCTTTTTTTCTCCTAAGAGATTTTTAACAGGTTAAAATAAAAATATTCTCCATTGGCCATAAAAGAAAATCTTTAATATTTGAATCTTTCTTTGACATAACAGAAAACTTAGTGTTATGCATTGAAACAAAATACAACAATTTTCAATCACATATGTATGTTTGGTTTTATGACAATTTGGCTACTTTAGAAAACATGTCTTTCAAGTAAAGTAATGGTTTTGACTACGAGTCTTATGCATTATTCCTTATCTGAAAGGTTCAGAGTAATTGGAGAGCCATTCCTGTCCCCATGATATAAATTAGGGTGCTTTCTTCATTCATGTGACTCTTTCCTTCCTCACCAGTGTGGAAAATGTGGTTGGAAGGAAAACGTGTGTCATTACAGATGCAAATGGGTCAGAAAGAATGGCATAGGGGAAGGTTTCCTCTGATGTGGTGGAGTGATGGTTGGGAAAAACACTGCAGCAAACAGAGTAATAGAGCGTCTGCCATATTTAGCAGTGACATTTTACTGTGATTTACAGTTTTCTGATAGAACACCCATTAATGAGCAGCCAGTTGGTTACAGCTCACAGCATAGATGCTGTGAGCCAACAGATTCTTTTCTTGTACTCAACATTATGTTAGGGGGTGTTTGCACAATGTTAGTTAACCAGCATTTGAAATATTGTACAGAATAAAGAGGACATATTAAAAATTAATCACCACTCAGATTTAAACAAAAGTCACTAAATGTAAAATAAGACCATGCAAGGAAGAAACATCTGCATACTTCTACAGTTGGAGATGCTTCCATGGCCTGTGACGTGTGGACTTACACTGTTTTCTGTAATCATGAGGAGACAAGCACACACTGCTGCCACAGCAGGACAGTATGAACTGAGATTCTTCATATGCCTCTGATAGATGTTACATCAATGTTGTTAATCTAAACTACAGCTGCAACACTTGGTTTGGAAACCTAATGTAAGTGTGCCCCCATGTGGCTGCAGAATTGCTTGTAAAAAATGTCTTCAGAAAAGGATTCACTGAAGTAGAATGGGTTTTTTAGAGAATGATCACTCCAATAAAAATAGAATTAGTCTATGTGACAGAGCTCATAACTTCTGCCATAAATCTTACAAATATTTTATGTTCCTCACTCACACATTTTAGCCCGTGTTTCTCTGACTCTGAAATGATAAAGCCACATACACGCACACACAAAAAATGTTTTTCTTTTTCCTTGTGTTTATATTGCTTACTGGTGTCACGCTGAAATAATTCTCAGCTACTGTTTCAAGGCACATTCTGTGCTTACATGGAGTGATGGACCAGGAAATACCGTTTGTACTAGAGCATGTTCAGGGTGTAACAATCTTGGTTGCCCATTTATGAGATGTGTGAAGACTGCTTTATCCACTTTGCTTGCATCAATAAGGTAGCTGACATTTATGACGCATAAATATTTTTCGTTCTACAGAATTTGGAATTCCCCTTCCAGGAAGCATCTTGTCTCATAGTCACCAACTCTCACAATATTTTGGTATGATAATTGTCCATTTAGCAATCCCCTTATCACTCTATTCTTATCTGCTGACTGGCCAGCTCGTGCACAGTCTAAGGATGTTTCTGTGAGATGCTGTTGGTTACTGACTGTCCAATCAGGAGCCTGAGTGTACAATCAGGCTGGTGTTATAATTTCAGTCAATTTAGCATCACTGTTCTTTGTGGGAATTTCTCAGACATTGGTCATTCTTCCTACAATTTCTTATCATAACTTTTCTTAACCCCATCAGTAAAGTAGATTTGATTTTAAAGATCACAACAATGAAAACATGAACATTTGCTTTGCTCCCTACTAAAACTCCTGCTTCTTAATTGAAGTTAATACCTAGTACTGTTTTCTATATTGTGCAAGATTCTTTTTATGTTCAATTGTAGGAAAGAGTCAATAATCACTTTGTCTACCCAACTTTTTTCAAGACCCCAAATTTGCTGTGAATAATCGTACATGCTTGTAATAGCACCAATAGAAGAGATGGAGTCAGAGGATCAGGAGTAGGCGATGGTAAACTCAAGACTTTTGTGGGATACATGAGTTCAAAACATAATTATGTATTTTGTAAAGACAAATTGAACTATTTTGACTTCTTCATTAGAAAGTGAAAACTAGGGTTAATTAATTCAAAGTAATATCAAAATAGTAATATTATTATTATTATTATATTATAGTAATAATATTATTTCAAACAATATATTTTTTCTCTTTCTGGGACAATTCTCTGAGAAAATTAGATTAGAGTAGGAGAAACAAAAGCAGCAGAAAAAAACTAAAATATTTGATTTCTGAATTTAGAATATTATAACACTGCTTGTCTCCATGAAAATGCTGGATGGTTGTAAGAGAGTTGCTGATTCTCATCCACAAAGCTTTATCAGGTAGCCAGACTAATCAACTCTTCATGCGTCGCTTGTTCTTGATATCTTATAGTCTGTAATGATGTATAGGCTCTACATAATTTAATGTTAAAACTGATTACATTTGGAATGATTTTTTAACCTCTTTTTTGGTTTTTAATGGGGAGTGATAAGGCACAGATAACCCAGTGAGAATTGTTTCCTGACTTTAGATGGTTCTATCTGCTTACACTGAAAATGTGTTCTGTGGCAGTGTGATAGCTCTCAGAGACCAAGATGCCAAAGTCGCCCTGACCTATAGATTGACAAATGATTTATTTTTTGTTCTTTGCATCACTCTTTTCTTGTTAAAAATCCAATTAATCTGTCATGAATAATTATAAATTTGATGCACTCGTCTGAAAGCCTGTTTATATATTCATTTCCACCAACACCAAAGGATAAATGACATCAAAAGGTGCTTCAAGATTAAAAGAGCTGGCTGACACCTTTATCTTTGTGCAAGACACCTCAACTTGTAGGGCACCAATTTAAGGAGTTAAAACAGACCGCTAAGGTCCAACAGAGAAGTTCGGTAGCTATTATTTAAAACTCTCCTGTTCGCCGCTATTTCTCAAACCCAAAAGACAGAAAACTTTCTATTAAGTGAACCTCTTTCTCTTGAAGTCTTGAATAGTCACCCCAAAGGCCAGGTTATCACTTGCAATAACATCCCACGCAACGTAGAAATATTGTATATGTTTATTTTACATATGCAATTTCACATCAACAAAAGCATGTACTGTGTATGCTTCGTGGCAATGAAGGGCAGGTCACCAAAACATACCTTGTATCATTTTTGTACAGTGCCTGTAATACAGACATGACATTGACTAGCAAAATCTAGCTGGGGGATGTAATTTATTCTTTTATTAAAAATTGGTCACTTGTAGCTCATCTCCAAGAAAGTTTAGTAACATGAGTATATATTGTGATAGTTACCAAGATACATCAAATTCTATATAGAGAATGTCAGAAACTCTACCCCCCCCATGCCCCTAGGAAGTAAAACTTTATCCAGATACAGGTGATAATACAGCAGTAACATTTTTGTGTGAAAGTTTTGTTTTATAATTCGAGTTACATTTCTAGATAAGTTAGTATCTACCTAAACTAATCACACAGCCCCTTGAGCACCTTGAATGTCTTTGAATAGACTACAACCATCACAAATGGAAGATAAAGAGGTGGCTCAGAAGAGCCCACAGTCTTTGAGATTCTCTTTTATTATTATGTCTGTCACCGCATCAAACACGAATTTGACGTTTTGGGTATCAGTAGCACAGGTCATGTGAGAGTAGATTTCCTTATCTTCCTTCTTTAAATTCAGGTCCAGAAACTGGTTCTTGATGTAGTTCCCTGCATCTTCGAATGTATTTGGTCCTTAGTGAGCAAAGAGATGAAAGCAGTAAATATTAATCACATCTTACAAGTCATAGAGCTATAAAGAGCACCATCAAGTTATCGGAAGTGTGCTATGTGATGTATGGAATCTTAAGAACACCACCTCTCGACTCCAAAGTCAAGGTGTCAATAGTCAGATATTAGAGATTTGTGCAGGACCTACATAGCATTACACACACACACACACACACACAAACACACATGCGCATTGTATTCTATAATTCTATATCAGCTCTGCTGGGATTTCTGAGAGTTGTATGTCAATTCATTTGGGTAACAACCTTGAAGAAGAGGAGGATGTGAGTCTGGGGGGGGCAGGAAAATGATAGTCAGATATTAGATGGTCTAGAGGGAGGAAGGGGGAGAAATGATGCAATGATAATTTAAATTTTAAAAAAACTTAAAAACTGACATCACAAGGTGAGTGACACAGATAACTGTCTCTCTCGCATACACATACAAATCCTGCATCTTGTGTTCCTGTGGTTATTCATAAGGTTAAATACAAGCTAAAAGAGAAACTAAGTGAGACCGTGGCAGACTAGTTTGCAGAAACAGGTAGTATTGAGCAAGGTCTTAAGAGAGAGTTGAGAAGAAAAAAAAGGATGAAGCAAAGCCAAAATGTGCAACGCATCATGGTCTGTAGTATCCCCAGCCCCAGTCCTTCTGGATGGAGGTGTGACACAGAGTGACATTTTGAAGATCTATTCAGATGGAAATGAGTGACATTTTGTAGAGGCAGTGAGAATACCAACCAAATGGAATGAGAGGTGAGGACACTCATTGTCTTGGCTGCCGGAGGAGCTGAGCTGTGGCATGGAATGTTATAGAGAGTGACTCTTGACACCATCCATGAAGAAAGTTAAGCCTGAGAAACTCTAGTAGAATGGCACCCAGATCAGATGGAAAAGAGCAATAGAAAACAGTAAAACTCGTAAATAACTCTTTCAATAGATTAGCTTCGCACCAGAATAGATGTGTTGAGGACATGGCAGAAAGGACCCGAAAGTCTTTCTAATGGATATTTTTTTTTTTTTTTTTGCTTTCAAACTTCCTTGTTGCTCAAAGCAGACTTCTAGGATGAAAATGAAGTCTTCAAACTATAGAACACAACTATGCTGGGAAGGTGACTTAGGAGAAGAGGTCTTGCCTAGCATGCACAGGCCATGAGTTCAACACCCAGTTCTAGTAAAGAAATGAACAAATAAAGAAACAAAGAAATTAAAACACAATAAGATAAAAATAAACAGAATGAAGATAAAAAAAAACTTAGAAAGTAAATCCTGATAGGAATACAAAATCACTGTCATCATTGCTAGTGAGAATGCAAAAGGTTCCTTCCACTCTCTGGGGAGGACGAGACACTGAGTCAGTCATCCCAGCAGCTTGAGATTCTGAAAAACGTGAAACTATAATAATATTAGAAACATCTGTAGTTTCTAGATTTTGGAAGGATAGGGAGGGCATATATAGGTGAAGCCTAAGTGATAGTAGGCCAACAGAACTATTTCATATGATGCTATACTAATTCTCTAGTTTGGATCTGAATGTCCTCCAAAGGCCCATTTGTTACAGGTTTGGTTCCTAACATGGTACCAGTTGATGTAGTGGAAACTCTTAAGAGGTGGGGCCCATGGGAGTTTTTTTTTTTTTTTTTTTTTTTTTGCTACTAAGCATGTGCATTCAAAGCGGCCTGTGGGATGCCCATCTCTTTCTCTCTCGCTTCCTTCTTGAGAGGGGGCTAACAGGACCTGCCATGCCACACTTCATTGCCACAGACTTACAGAAGTAACAGTGCCAACTGAACATTGGTTGTGTGACTTCACAAACTATGAGATTTGATAACCTACTTTTCTCTTTGTCAGCTGATTTACCTCGGATATTTGTTCTCTTAACAGAGAACTAATTAACATGGCATGCATTTAGCAAAACACATAGAACTATCAGACACAGAGAGCAAACCCTAATTACACTGTGGATTTCAGTTAATTATGTGTTAACTAATAGGATACTATGGTAGGGGAAACCAAGAAGGTACATAAAATCTCAACTCTCAAAGGATTTCTTTCCATGTGAACAAAACCTTCTCTAAGAAGCTGTAGTAAATATGAATCCCTTAACAATGTCTTTATTTAACCTCTACCATGAAATACAGGTTCATAATTGTATTGATCACATGATAGATGTATAGACATTATAAATGATGCCTGTGATTCTAGAATGACACACTAAAAATTAACTAAAAAATAACTAGTGACTGCCATGATCTTCGTACATAAAGTATAAATTTCGATTTATAGTTATGTTTAAATTATGACCATTTCCATATTAGATAATTTCATCAATAAGAGTATATCTAAGTACTTAAAAATGAGTCTTTAAAGGTAAATTCACCCTTTCGTGTGACACTAATGACTTAGTAGTTACTAACTGACATGATCAGCGGTCAAATATGGGGACCTCAGGAGGGCAGAGTAAGAGAAGTACAACTGTTTACAAACTCATTCCTCCTGTTCATTGGCCACACTGTATATTCTGAAGAGCCACTGAGCTCCAACCTGACACTGCAAGCTCTAGTTAGGGTGGCATTACAGTGACATTATTATATGGCAGGCAATATAGCTTGCAGTATCATTGGACATGTTTGCAGAGCAGCTACTCTCTCCTACCTAATATGTTCCGATTTGTTCCATTTGGAATTTGCTTTAAGATACACAGTACAGTAAATTTCCTCTTTATCTAAGAGACTGTTTTCAGCTGAATCACAGTCATGTTAAGGAGAGTAATGAAAGAGATATCTTGATAGACAGGCCATTGTGGAATTAGGGAGAAACTTGATACTAGGGAAATTCCCAGGAATCCATGAGGATGACCCCAGCGAAGGCTCCTCGCAATAGTGGAGAGGGTACTGGAACTGGCCTTCTCCTGTAATCAGATTGATGACCACCCTAATTGTCATCATAGAACTGTCATCCAGTAACTGATGGAAGGAGATGCAGTGATCCACAACCAAGCATGGGGCTGAGCTCCATCAAAGAGACAGAGGAGGGGTCATATGAGCAAGGGGGTTCAAGATCATGACAGGGGAACCAACAGAGACAGCTGACCTGAGCCTATGGATCCTCGTGGACTCTGGGATGACAGCTGGAGAGCCTTCTTAGAGCCTAACTAGGTCCTCTGCTTGTGAGTGACAGTTGTGTGGCTTGGTCTGTTTGTGTGGCCCATGGCAGTGGGAGCAGGCTCTATCCCTGGTACCTGAGCTGGCTTTTTGGAGTCTATTCCCTATGAAAGGATGTTTTGCTCAGTCTTCATGCAGGTGAGGAGGGGTTTGGTCCTGCCTCTACTTGATGTGCCAGGCTTTGTTGACTTCCCATGGCAGACCTTACCCTTTCTGAGGAGTGGATGGGGTTGGGTAGGAGGGAGGTGGGGAGGAGCAGAAGGCAGGGAGGGAGAGGGAACTGTATTTGGTATGTAAATGAACAAAAATTTAAAATAAAATAAAAGGATCCAAATAGGAGGGCGGGGGAGATGGCTTAGCCAGTATACTGCCTAACATCTAAGCAGGAGGACCTGATTTTGGATCTCCAGAACCAACATATAAACCAGGGTGTGGCAGTGGGCTTCTGCAACTCCCAGCCTGGGGTGAGGGGGAGGATGGAGACAAGTGGATTCATGAAGGCCTTTGGTTAGCAAGTTTATGTGCATAGATGAATTACAAGTTCTGCAAGGGGTCATGTCTCAAAAAGAAATAAGGGATGAGGACTTGGGATATTGCTGAGTTTATAAGCACTTACAGCTCTCTTAAAGGACCTGGATGTGGTTCACAGAACCTACATGGTGGCCCACTGTTCTCTGTAATTCCAGTTTCAGGATATCCAGAGTCCTGTCCCATCCTCCAAGGGCACTTGGATATAATGTGGTGCACATAAACTCATTACTGAGCTTGCCCACACACATGGTGAAAATTAACCATTTTTTTAAAGCTGGAGGGTGATTGAAGACATAGGTAACAGTCTTGAGATTGCACGGACATGTACACAACTTGCATGTACCACACACACACACACACACACACACACACACACACTGTGGGGGGGGGCACGACATGTGGGCCCATGGGTCTTATAGCAGCTCACTATCTAGAATGGAGGGAAGCAATATTACCAGTGTACTCTGGGAAGCAGATGCTGAGGTGAACCTTGGCCACTTTTTCCTGGAAGAGATCTTTCTTGTTGAGAAAGAGAACAATGGAAGTGGTCGCGAAATACTTGTGATTGCAGATGCTGTTGAATAGGTGAAGACTTTCGTGCATTCTGTTCTGTGGCATAAAGAATGAGAGGGTGTAAGGTTATTATTATCTGCAGAGTTTGGGCATGGGCGTCACAAGCAAGGACCTAGGTACTATGGATATTAGTGAAGGGGACATTGGGTTGGAAAGGGCAGGGCTACAACTGGGCAGCACTGTTTGGTGTGCCTCAGCTTCTCTCCTCTTCCTCCACTTCTTACATTGGACTTACCACCTCTTCATCTTCGACGAGCACCATGTCGTAGGCACTGAGGGCAGCACAGAATATGATGCACGTCACTCCTTCAAAGCAGTGGATCCATTTCTTTCTCTCTGACCTCTGCCCACCAACATCAAACATTCTGTAAAAAAAAAAAATGAAAAATTAATCCTCCAAGTCTTGTTGAATTGTTGACATTGGCTGCATATTTCGATATACTTAAAATGCATTCTTTGATTTCTGTTGCATAATTTGATAAGGGACTATAGGAAAAAGGGAAATTTCATGAGTAGAATAATATTCACACTAACTTGAGCAATTGGAAATTTTAACGCAGTTTAAAATATAAGTCTTAGAAGACTTTGATAAGAGTTTATACATATTTTCAAGAGTGAATAGACCAGAAAGACTAGAAGATTGGGTACATCATTCTGATACAAGGATCCTCTTTGCTCTCTTCTTAGAAATCTTTTTTATTCAAACAATTAGCTTGTGTTCTGTGCTAACACTGATTTCAATCAGTTTATATGAAGATGAAAAGGTATGATTGCTATTTTCAAAGATCTTGATGGCTCCGTTCCTCCCTCCCTCCCTCCCTCCCTCCCTCCCTCCCTCCCTCCCTTCTTCCCTCCCTCCCTTCCTCTCTGCCAGCCTGCCTTCACTCTCGAGGTTGTGTGATTACCACACTGAGCTTATTTGTTCTCCCTTTCATTACTGCTTCTCTCTCAAATGCCATGTTTTGTTACCAAGTCTCATCCACAGAGGAGGCTTTCTGAGAATCCCCTTAAGTTCTCTCTCCTCATTTCCATTTAATTTATGTGGCCCACTCTTACTTTATGGGATTCATGCCAAACAATAAAAAAAAAATACTTCGTCTGTTTGACATCTATCATGTTTAACAAAACAGGAGTCATGCAAGGCAAGGCTCTATGTGACTAATTGTTTCAGTTATATTGCCTATCATCATGCCTGGCACACAATACACACTTAGTAAATATTGTGAAATAACTGAATAGAGACTTTGTTGGCAAATGAATGGACAACTTTTATGAAAAGCACATGTAAAAGTATCTAGGTGTGGGGTTATGAAGCATGTCTTCAGAAAACAATCTAAGCTTTTAGAAGCAAGAAGAAAAAAATTGAGCTACATAAATTAATAACTACCATTTCTTATTTATTCATGGTCAGTTTAACCAATGTTTCCTGGATGTTTCTTATATCAACATCAAAGACTTAGCCTCCAGGGCTTACAATCTGTTTTTGATAGAGTGTACCAGGTAGTGAGGGGCTGTACACAGGAATACAGTGTGACAAGTAGGAAAGAACTGTACACAGGAATACAGTGTGACAAGGAGGGAAGGACTGTAGTTTGGAGGTAGAAAAAGAATCAACGCAAATACAAGGCCACACAGTTTACATAGAAAGAGGCTGGCTAAAGGAAAAAATACATTTTAACTTCATATTTTCCCTTTAAAACCAGTAGAGAATAAAGAAATGAAGTTAAATGTACCCACTGATAAGAGGGGAAACTCTGAAAGTCTAAAGTTTAACTACAGACTAGGAAACACAGGTCACAGATAAGAACACCAATAACATAGCTATCATCTTTGCAGCAGAGAAAAGAAATTCCCCAAGTGTCCCAAACCAAACACCAGATATGCTGTACTCTTGGACACATGGAAGAATCATTGACTCGGATCCCTAGAAGGAGGAGCCTGAAAGAAATGTACAGCTATTTTTCTTATTTTTCAGATGCTCAAGTAACTAAGTAACTTGTTAAAGATTATTAATCATTTAATGTTTGCTGAGACCATATGTTTAGGCACTATGCTAGACAATATAATAACTAATTTCTGTGGTGTTTTCCCCTTATATATAAACCTATTTACTATACCAAAGTTCCCATTCTAGCATCTAGAGTTAGCAGTCATGTCCTCTTGGTGTCGGGGTGGGGGTGGAATAGTCTCTAGTTTTCTCTCTCCAGATCACACAGCAGTTTTTCATGCTGATAAACAAGTTAATGGGCAAAAATAAATGTCTCCTCTCATGTTTCCCTGTATTTCAGTAGAGATAGTGCAGATGTTCTGGATTCCAGGAGTTTTACATATTCTCCACTTGTTTACTTATCGGCCTATTCTGGATCCTTAGATGATGTCAGAAGAATGTGATTCTGTATCCTATAATGTGTGGGTTTTCCCATGTGGCTGTAGAAAGTTTATCACTAAGATGGCATTCCCAGTGGGCTTCTCAAGTGCGATTGTCACTTGGAATCACACCCACAGATTTGAACAGATAAGTGTGTCTTCAGTTCTAGCGTCACAGGCTTCTCCTCTGTCCAGTGACTGCTTACTGGAAAACTAACTGACCACTGGTCCCACACAATGGAGTCACATGAAGGGGTGACTTGGTTTGCAAGACGAGAAAACTCATTCCTTTTCACACTAGGTATGATATGCTATGGGACTCAAGGACATGTTCCTAAATTCTGTCCACTAGCAGGACCTGGAGTTGCTGGAGCATTTAGTTTTGTCTCTTTTAATTGGCTTTTGGGCTCTACTCTCAATTGCTGCTTATTCTGAATCACACTTTCTTCTTTAACTCACACCACATCTTCAAATTGTCTTCTAAACTTTAAATTCTGGGAAAAAAAAAAAAAACTCTTTTAACTTTGGCCTTCAACAACTGCTCCACTCTATTGTAGGTGACCCAGCCTTTTGCCATAGAGATAGTAATCTGATTTCTCAAGAATTAGTTTCATTTTATTTTATGTCTGGCACAGGATCTACTACTGAGTGGAATGATAATAAGGATGGTCGAGATATGAAAGTTCTAAAGGAACTTTATGACGTGCGTAAATTCAGCATAGTGGGGACGAAGGCACTTCGCACACCCCTTGCATGCTTAATTCCTGTGTATACTTTCCTTCACGTTCGTAAGCAAGCCCTACCATCTTGAGTGGCTCGGCTCCAACTTGCATCAGGTGGGGTTCTGAGGTGATTATCAAAATGAAAGCATGCCTTTCCCCTCACTGACTAAGTCCTTCCCTTCTCTGAGGACCTGACAGTTACAGTCGACTAGGAACTCACGGCAGGTTTGAGAAGGAGTTCTTCTCCTGTGACTATAAACAGTGGAGACCCACAGTAGCAGTGAGACTACCTTACCACTGCAAACATGCAGTATATGAATTGTGCGCTCTCCCCAAGAAACAAATTAATAGCTATCATTTTATTCACTCATGATAATACTTTTCTGTGTCTGAAGGGAACATCATTATTTTGCCCACTAAAATTCAGCCTTTGAAGAGCTAAGACTTAAAAAATATTAGTTTTGACCAAACTCGCTATTAGTAAGATGTGGAACTTAGGGAACCTGCCCTCAATGCTGTTTTCTGGGCACTGTGACAGCTTCCCGCGAACATGCTTACCAAGCTTAGCTTTCTTAGAAGAGAGGACAAAGCTTATGCAGTCTTTGTTCGTGGTAACAAAGTGTTCTGAGAGCCCAGCTTCGCATGAATGTTTATGATCTTCCCATTTACGACTCACGTGAGTCACAGCACTGCTTTCTGTACACAATGACACAGAAGCCTGGGCCGGAGCGCTCTGCACGTTTCTCTCAGCCATCTGCTGTTATTGAAGTGAAATGCTCATTAACAAACCAGATCAAGGTCCGCAGAGGTGTTTCTGTGCTGAATCTCCGGACATGACGTCAGCATCGTGAAAAGCTGGGTCTTGTTTCACTATTATTATAATGATTCATTTCTCACATATATTTATTCTTATAAAATGTAAATTGAGCTCTACTTTATAGAATTATAAATTAATGTAGAATCCTTAAATAAGCTGAAGACCAAGAATGGGAAATTTTACTTATATAATTGAATATATATATGTATATATATACATATATATATATGTATATATATATACAACCAAAAACAGTCTGGCCATTCTGTAAAGAAAACTAAAATGTGAAATACATCTATACCCACTACCAGGGTGGTTTAGACTGATCAAATCAAACTGACAGTTTAATGAGAGGAATGGTCATGATTGGGTATCCTTAGTTCTCTGAATGAGAGCTTCAAGAAGGTTGCATGGAACTTGTAGGGCTAATTGTGGATATTGGAGAGAGGGGTATTTGTTTAAAGTTTTAGGAGGGTCTTATAAATATTTTCAAACATCGGATGGTAAAATTAGCATTCTTGAAGTTAAAAGAAAGATTTTAAATTATTGATTAGGATATAAATAAAAATTAACAAGCCAGGCTTTTAAGTGATAACCAAATATTGATTATGTGTTAAGCTGTCCATGCTGTTAACATAGGGCAAGCCACCAGAGTTATATGACTGGGTTAAACAGCTGACCAAACAGTTGAATTTTATGGTCCTATTTAATCAGTTGGAAGGCCACTGAATTGTATGGGTTTATATTTGACCACAGGAAAGTACTTATGCCTCATAATATAATAGATTAGTATGAGTAATTTGACTATTCCAATTACTGAAAATTCATAATGTAATTAAGGAGAACGAATTAATAGCCATGCTTCTGCAGCCCATTTGTGATAGATGTCATGGTTCCTCCTACAGGCATGGGATCTCTGGGAAAGCAGCATTTTTTTTAAATATTTATTTATTATGTATACAATATTCTGTTCGTGTGTATGCGTGAAGGCCAGAAGAGGGCACCAGACCTCTTTACAGATGGCTGTGAGCCACCATGTGGTTGCTGGGAATTGAACTCAGGACCTTCGGAAGAGCAGGCAATGCTCTTAACCTCTGAGCCATCTCTCCAGCCCCCGAAAAGCAGCATTTCTAACCTTTTCTACTCTCTGGTCACATTAGAACAAGTGCTAATCTGAGCAGGACTTCATTCTGAGCCATTCTGTTAAATGGGATCTGTAGAAGATGCTGCCTTAGTCAGGATTGCTTCAGTGTCTTAACTGTGAGTACTTATGAGGACGGGAGTTCTGAGCCTGTGCCGCCATTATACAGTCGAATCAGCTCAGAGACACCAAGGGCATGCAGGTACAGAGGGATGTCTAAATCCCTTAGTTATCTTTGACATTAAAATATAATAAAAGTATTTAGAAGTACAAGTGAACCAAGTCTGAAAACTGACATAATTATCAATCCCATTTACCATGTGCCTTGATATTGGATGAAAAAGCTATTTTTAATAAAAGAAAGATAGAAAAATAATACAGCCATATGGTTTATAGTCATAGAGTCATTAAAAGAAATTCCAGGCTGTGCATGTTGGAGCATACACACAACATGAGCACTTAGGATGGGGAGGCAAGAGAGTGACAAATTTGAGGCTAACCTAGGCTACATCATCACTTCAAGGCCAGCTTAATATGATGTGATGTATTGGGAACCTGCCTAGAGAGCTGAAGCTCCTAGGTTTTATGCTTAGTTCTGTAAAACAAGCAAATAATCAAAACCATGCCAGATCATATATTATTCTGGTAATCTTAATCATGACCACATATGCAGCAAATGTGTAGCATGTGTGGATTACAATTCCTTGACTTCTAATAAAGAGTAACAAATCTAAAGCTGGATGCAGCTCCTGGCTAAACAATCGGCCTCATAGCTAAGCCTGGTGACTCACACTCTTGGAAGTGAACACAGCGAATAGAACTCAACTTTCATATTTTAAGAAAACTGTCATATTTTTTTTTCAAATCACACATCTGTTCAAACATTCTTGAAAGCAGTTTTGCCAAATTTACACATTTTTCGGTTCTATGTTGAGACAGTTTCCAGCCTTTCTGGCTCCTCTGCCCAGTGATTTCAACTCTATAGTTTAATTGTGGAACATTAAAGAGAAAATAACTTTTCTACAATCGATAACTCATTTTAGATTTATTTCTAAATCACTTAAGTCTGGGGACATTACTCCCCAAAAGAAATGCTTAGATTCGTTTCCTGTTTTCCATTGACTTAGCAACTTGAAAAACCTGTAAACATCCTTGGCCAGATTGGCAGTTGGAACTTTGCTTTGATAAGAGCTCTGAAGATAAGTTGTTCTATCAGCCTGACAGTTGCCGCTCTGGTTTGATAAGCACTCAGGGCTGATTTCCATTAAGTCTGATGATGCAGAGAGATGACACAGTACTTTGGCACACAGAGCTTTTCATTTTGATATTCCTGTTTAAAATTCTCGAGTTCTCCATTTTAATATGTAAATTAACTCTTTAGTCTTAAATAGTCTGAGGATGATTTGTGCTATGCGAATACGAATCAATGCTAATGTAATATATTTTAAGACCTGGGAAATTGCCGAGGAGAACTTGGAAAGTGCATTCTGTTTACATTCCGTTTCGAAACGCAGAACTTTATATGTAGTATGAAAGCCTAAACATTAGGACTCTTCTACTCAGTATTTGAAAAAAGGATGGCTAAACTTTGGGAATTTATTAAATGATTATTATATCTCAATTGTTGTGAATAAACTTTTAAAATTCTTCAAACATTTAAGCAAGATGTGATTGATTTTTCTTTCCTATCATTTTTTTCTATAAAAGAGAATATAAAACAAGACCATGTTTATACAATAATTGCTTCACAATAAAAGAATACTTTTACATTCTAAAGTATCTAAGAGTCTCAGTAACAAGGTATAAGGATTCACGTTTTATAAACAGGAAGCTTCACAGTTTCATGACAACTACAGCATTTCTTGGTAATGCTAAAGGCTCTCTTTGGAGGCTTTGCCAATCTCCATTCCTCAATTCTTGATCAAATATAGAATCACCCAGCATATCATGTCACGGGCCACCGTTTTGTGTACATTGTACTTCCTGCGATACATTTGCACATTCGGCTAAAGCCGACCCTTTGCTTCCTTTTGCAAACCACTGTTGCAAGAATTGGTGGCAGACCGTCATGACATGTAGCCCCAGACTTTTTAAGCTCGAGAGTGCATGTAGTAGAAATGGAAACAAAAGGGAAAATGAAAAGCGAAGCAAGGAGATCGCGCGTTGGTAACAAGGAGAACCAGGAAAGTAGCGTGGTATGTTATTATGGAAAAGAGGAGGACTCAGGCGTGGGGGCGACAACTGCTTATTTGAATTCCCTCCGAACTTTGCATGTGTAATAGAGCACTAGCAGCTTGAGACCGGCAGGGTGGAGGTATTTCCTCCTGAGAAATCATCACTAACTACAAATTAGCTCTTATCCTCCGTTTGTCATTCACCCTACTGCACTCGGAGAGCCTTTGCTCAAGTGTGTCAGCACGCTGTTGCCTGTTACTACAGGACAGCTGTTGAGAGACAGTAAACAGATGGAAGGCCAAGGCTCTAAAGGGGCAGGCGTCTTCTCATTTGGGATCTAGATGATAAAAAGGAGCAAAAACACTACGTAAAGCACATGCAAAAGTCTTAATGCCCGGAATGCTAAAACAGAGAACGAGCTTATTCATGAGTGGACTGTTAAGAGGGTCAGTGTGGAGTGGGGCATGACACGATTCAGATGATCTGGGGCTGAGAGAATTCCGTTGGCTCATGTAAGACAGGCAACATCAAGATGCTCAAAACTCTGCAAGTTCTTAACTTGATCCAACCTTTATCGTAGGTGTTCTAGCTAAGAGATCCACAAGGCGCGCTGCTGCGCTTTCCTGGAGGACAAACAGGGCCACGTCGGGCCTGGCTAGCCTCAAAGCCGCATGAGTTCCAGTCTGTGCCACAGGGATTAGCGGAGAAGGAAGGCGGCAAGACAGAAAAGGGACTGTGTACAAAAGTCCTGGCAAGGCAGAGGGAGACAGAGGGAGCAGCTTTGGACTTGGCTCCCAAAGGAAAATTCCAGAAACTGGGGCAAAGTTCATCTGACTCAACAAAACCAAGCAAGGGCTGAGGAGACAGATACTCTCACCGAGTTTGCCCAGGCAGCGCTGGCTGCATTCTCAGCTGCATTCCCTTTGCCCTGATCTCATGGGAGGCCAGTTCGTTAATTAATTCCAGAAAAGTCACTCATTGTAGGCCTGAAATTTAGTACAAATTTGGAAAATATTACTTTTATATCTCTTGAAACTATTTTAATAGCCGTTCTAATCAGCCCCCTCATAATGACCAACCTAGACTCTTCACAGCATTTCAAAACCGTCACTACCCTCAAACTGAGTTGAGGGTTCTGGATAAGGAGCATTGAGTTACTTTCCCCCTCAAAATTGGCTACAAATAATTCATATCAGCTTCTCCAGATTTGTTTGTTTCCTTTTAATTCTTTAAATACGTCTCCATTATTGCAGGCATGACTGACCCTGCTTAGTGTGCAGTTTTAGCAATGTTTCATTACTAACATAACCTGGTACTACTAATAATCTATCTCACCCCCAAATCCACATAAAATAGTGTGAAGCTTTGTATGAATATGACAAATATACTCGGCCTCTCTGGGAAGTTTGTGTGAAAGCTGTTAAGGACCAAGAGACATTATCTAACACTGTATTATGGTTTCCGTTTCTTAATATAGTCCAAGAGGGATTTGATAGTAGAATTTCAGAGGATTACTTAAAGGGAATTAAAGGTAATAAAATAGGGATTCATTTCCATACCCAAAACGGGCTGATGGAATGTGCCTTGTGAGTTTTTTAAATAGCATCACATTCAAATAATTGTATTTTCATTATTTGCATCTTAAACTAAGGTTGATTTAAGGAATATGTCAAACAACTAGAGAAGTAAGAGGGTAAGTGAAATAGTACCCCTGGCACTTGTTCCTAAAAGACTATTTAAATATTTTCTTTAAAAAAAAGCTCAAAGAAAAATGTCATTTTTAAGTATTAGGAACAGAATCTGGATAGCACCTGACTGAAAAACGCAGCCCAGAAGGAAGGAGAGGTTTAGAGTGTGCTGAAGGAGCACAGGAAGGAAGGTGGTGATGTCAGGAAAGGAGGTCCATCCAGCTAACTCAAAGTCACTGCACTTGACTGTGGGCTGCAGAGCCCTCCAAGAAGAAATATTGAACTGGAAGTCTGCTCCACCCACACGTAGAAGACAGGTTTGTACATACCTGAAGTTCAAGTCTTTAAAGGAGAATTGAGTTTCAATGATACCAGTCGTTTTCACCCGGGAATGCAGAACATCTTGCTCATTTGGCACGTACCCAGGGGCTGTGATTCTATCTAAGTCATTAAGGTAGCTAATGGAAACAAAATAAAACAGAATACATTCATATTTTTGACTTTACATTGGGATCCACTGCAATTCAGCCCGAGAGTATTTTTAAGAGTTTAAAGTATATGAGAAAACAAACGCCCTCTGTTGCTTTTTACGCTGCTGATCAGAATGGTAAGAACTGGCAGCTGGGACACCACCATTGTGGGCTGCAGATCACAACTAGCGCCTGGAAAGCTCTTCTCGACGAACTTCTCAACACTACCTTAGTCTGTAAGACAGATTTGCTATCCTGTAGGTAGATGAAGGAAAGGCTGTTCCTCCATGCAGGGATGTTTGAATGCATTTATACGTGTTAGGATGCCTTAGCATGTTTGCATCCACAGCTACTACAAGTTCCTCAAAGTTCCTGTTGTGGGGATGATTTAATTTGAATTGTTTCCTTGTTATGAATTGTTTGGGTATTTTTGCATGGATTACTTAGTTTCGAACACAGTCATTTCCATTAAGGGCCATGCTGAAATCCATAAGGCTCAATGAAAGATCCCAGGTGGTTCATGAGGGTCCGCACTGAACCAAATCACGGTCCATCAGTGCATGGTGAAGTCCCTAACTCTTCCAGAATTCTTGTTCCTAACAGCGTGAACAATTTCCTTTTCTTTCCTTTTGCTTACTTGCTTTTGGTTTTATTTATTACAATATCTAAAGCTCAGTAATGGAGAGGTGTAAACTTGATTAAACTCCCTGCGCCAAGCCTGTTTAAGGATGAAAAGTGCTCTTAGCATTTTCAACCTTGCAAGAATAATCTACGAAGTAAAACTGTATTTTCTTTCATTTCTACCATTGTATTTGACACACAGGATTAAGTGGCATAGCAATATGGCTATTTCTGTGGTAAATTGAAATAGAAAAGGTAATAGCATACTAATTTTATGGTAAATTTGCATATTACATTGAGTCAGGCCAACAAACACATTTAAAAAATGATAATGTGTGGTTTCCTGCCATAGACACAAAACTTGGAGAATAAAGTCTTACGGAACAAGTATATCCAAAGGGATTTTGTTCAACAGGAAAAGTAATATTGTGCCTATGAAATACTAAAATGTGAAAATGTATCATTATATATATCATATTTATGCTAATAAAGACTGCTTGACTGTAAATGGGTGATGAATTGAGATATAAAGAAATCAAAGAAGTACTGTAGGATTTTACAGTTTTTAATTTTTTTATTTACTATTACTTAAAACAATAAATTTCCTATTGATGAGCTCGGGTCTGCGATAGGTGTATTATGTATCGTTCATTTCATACCCAGGTAAAAGAGTAGAAATCATGTACTCACAAAAATAGAAATAAACTTCATCTAATGAAAGCTTCAGTAAAGATACGTTTTTAAGAATATTCTTTGCATCTGTAAATTATTTCAGGCAAAGAAGAGGCATTAGCAAACTGATTTTCATCTAAAGTCCAGATTTTCATAAGCAAATATGGGATTTGGATGTCAAACCCTCTAGTTGATAAACCAAACAGAGGTTTTTAGGCCTCAAGTCTGAGATCACTTAAAATGTCTTGATGATTTACTTCTAATCCTGAAAAGATAGTGTTTGTCCTGTTGAGTCCCTGTCTGTTCTTAACTCTTGTGGAGTTTAAATAGCACACTAGATGGCCCCAATCAGTAAACCATGGATCCTCCGTTAGCTAAGGCTTTCCTCTTTTCTTTATTTAGATCTTTGGGATTGACTGGCCAAACACAACACTCCAGCCCTTTCCTCATTAGCTTTGTTCTTCTGGTAGTTTCCAGGATAACTCGAGACACACTTGATATAAGGAAGTTTTAGGTCATGGTAACAATTACATTACAAGCAGTTTAATGCCCTCCCAAGTTCCTTATTAATATTAAATACTTACTTGCCAATATTTCCTGTGATTGAATCCAACTGGATGTCATAATGTGCTAAAGTCTGGAAACAAATCAACTACTGACTTTCAGAACTTTCTATCTTGCTCAATAACCTAGTGAGCTAATGCATATATCACCAATCAAAAGTTATTCTAGGAGACGATTTCAGCAACATGGAAATAGATGTTTCAGATTAATATAGCCTCAAACGTCGGTATACACACCATCTGTCTGCATTAGTGCTAAGCACCATGTATCATGGTTAATTCTTTTTAAATAAGGAAAGATATGTGTAAGAGTTGTTTCTTCTCCAGCAAATTACTTCATGTCTTTTCAGTTGTCTCTCAGTTTTGTATAATAAAGTGCAAAACCATTCTCCCTTGCTTGTGCTTACATGCCTATGCGCCCAGTTATAGACATATGTATCATCTATGATCCTGAGAAGTCACTTACTAAGCGGCAGAGTCATTGAGCTGGTATTCAGAAGCCCTTTCAAAGCAAGCTTGGATTCCTGGGTCTCCCCAGAGGCGTTTAATCACTTCAGCCAGCTGGGGTGTCATGTCGCCATCTTCTAGTGTATTTGCCATTGCGTGCAGTTGCTGCTTGTCTTCCTAGAGAAATATTTTGGTGGGAAGAAGATCAGCAATCTATTTAGGCTCAGATATTGTTTTAAATGGAGCATGCAAAAGGTTTTTTTTTTTTTTGACTTTTGAGACAGGGTTTCTCTGTAGCTTTTGGTTCCTGTCCTGGAACTAGCTCTTGTAGACCAGGCTGGTCTCGAACTCACAGAGATCTGCCTGCCTCTGCCTCCCGAGTGCTGGATTAAAGGCGTGCGCCACTACCGCCCAGCAAGGTTTTTCATTATCTACTTTTCTTGCTAAAAAATTTCCTTGACTATTTCTTCCAAAATTTATTAAGAGTAAAAAAACTAGAATCCATTATACTAACAGGCTAATATCTGGAAAAAACTACCTTTTGGAAAAATTGTAACATACTTTATGGAGAAATCTGAATACTTTGGTGTATATCATTGACATCTGAGTAAAAGAAAAATGAGATTGTTGTAAAATGAAAATAAAAATGAGATTGTTTATCATGAGATATTTCTTTGTGATCATTCTGGCAAGCGATTACACTTGGACCCCCCAAAAATGTGTTAATGCTATCCCTTAGGTGGTGTCAATTATGGGCTGTGCAGAAAATTTGCCATTTGGGCAGAGGTGGGAAATGGCTAAGAAATAAAATAGCTGAGTAAATGTTGGGTCAGTGCCTGGTAGCACATGGCAAGAAATGAGAAAGGAGAGGAACTTGCTTCATAAATAAACTCTTTGACAAAGTACATGGAATATATTATATACAAATTCCAAGATCGTTAGGCCATCATCAAAGAATGCAGAAGGTGCACATGCTGTAGTAAATATTATTGCCTGGGAGGGAAAAATGAAATAAACATTGTCATGTAATACATTGGAAGCAGTCTTCACAAAGCCCTGCAAAGGGAGTCAAGCAGCATTGTGTCTGCCCTGGATTTCAGCTGTTTGAAGTTAACCAACTACTCCCTTTCAGCCCATTCCCCCCCCCCCACTTTTAAATTAAAGGATTATAGGAGGCCATTCCTTAAGAGTCATTGTAAAATTCTATGTGCTTAAGAAAAGTCAGGGTCAGCAGTAACAGACTAGCTATAATAGAATAGGTTCAATAAATCATCAAATGCTAAAGATGGGAGGGTCTTGGAGTTCCCTTTTGCTTGTGTGAAAGAAGGCAAAGCCAGAGAAGTGGGAAACTTATCTGAATCCAAACTGTGGGGAAAGTTAGTAAAGGATGTTTTTAGAGCATAGACTCCAGGCTTTTGCAAATGGTTTGCCGCAAAGTATACGTAGCATATCTCCATTCTCTCTCTCTCTCTCTCTCTCTCTCTCTCTCTCTCTCTCTCTCTCTCTCTCTCTCTCTCTGTTTCTCTCTGTTTCTCATCACTCTCTGAGAAAACTGATGGGAAGAAAGGGGATTTATACTTTCCTGTAAAATAAACAGTGTAGAAAGGGACATTTTCCTTTTCATCCTGATAACTTCCAACTCTCATTCAAATGGTCAACCCTAAACTGGATGGCTGGGAAGGGACGGAGAGGAGGAAAGTACTTTGTGTCTTTCGCTAATTTCACATATGGTTCTTCCTATGCTTATTGCTCTTGTACACTGATTCTACTGGGGGCTGTTCAATTGATGCCATCTGGAGATGACCAGCCACTCTGGGTGGGGGGGGCGCTTGTGGAAACAGATAAAGTATTTTAATGCTTTTGTTTTGTAGTGGGGTTACTTATTGGCTTTTAGACTATAATATACTCATGATCTGCATATTAAAATAGTTTTTACATATTATCTATTTTTAAAGTAAGTAGATTTTTAAAGCATCATAATGTATGAAATAGTTATTAATTAAATACATGAAAAATTACTTAGATGTGATATTATAAATAAAAGTACAGTTGTTTCTTATGTTGTTATACTTAATATTAGTTTTAAATCCTAAAAAATACTATTTAATAAAATTATAGTGAACAGTAGGAAAGAGAGGTTTAATTGAGAGAAAAATAAGAAAATATAAGCTGGTGGTAGTTAACATTTGTGAAATTATTATATTATGTTCCGTTGACATAGACTAGGACAACCAACACGATCCTATGATTCTTTAGTTCACATTCCACATGGGCCACATAATTATCACATGGCCTTTCAATAATTGCATACTTACTGCACTTCTAGGGTTCACATAATCGATCCCAAGCGTAGTCATTGCTTTCACAATGGCTAGGATGGACTGCAGTGTGTTACTGTAGATGACTGCCTTGAACTCCATGCATTCCTGCTTACTGTACCCGTTCTTATGGATGATCCTACAGTTACACAAGAAAAGCTTTTGTGAGGTGAACTCATACAGTACAAATGACCATCAATAATAAACCGCTTGAATAAAAGCGTAGTATGTATACTTTAAAAAGGAAGGATTTTTATCAAGTGTGTTTGCCACGTCTGGGCAATTTAACATCTCTGCATGTTTTTCCCTCACTGTCTTTTCATAAAATGCCTTTTAGGGCATGGGAAGAACACATGCTAAATATAAGGCGAATTCAATCTTGTTATAGATAAAATAATTTTTCAAATATATAGATCCACAAACACTTTATTTAGAACCTAAATTCCTTTTTTTTTTCAAGAAGAAAATTCCCTGATTTTCAGGTCTGAGTTGTGCATGAAGTCCAGAACCCTGGGTGATGTTTTCACCATGATTGAAGTCTCGGCAGAACAATCCTGGCTTTTCCTGTCTCGTAAGAAACACTGGGGAGTAGGAACGTCTGCTTTCTATCTACAGCTTTAACGAAGATAGTTTTTAAAAAATAGAGGTAATTGCTTTTGTTAATTCCCTTGCCATTCCTCCATGTGTGTACGTGCCTCTGGGTTCAGAGTTGAGTTACCGGGCAGTAGATTTGGCTGGGCTCCTCTCTTCCCTCCTCCCATTCACTCACAGTCAGGCTTTGAGAGAGTTTAAGAATAATCGCTTAAAATAGATTTTCCCATTAGAGCTAAAATCTCTGTTGGTGCTAATGGTGCTTCTTTGCTGTGTGATACATTCTTCCTGGCATTCTTTTCTTTATTTCATGTTGTTTTAAAAGTGCTTTGTGTTTGTATTTGAATGTCACTTTTCTCAAGATTTATCTTGTGTCTACACACATAGAAGTTCCAGCTTAGGGGTCAAACTTAGCACAAACACCTCTTCAAAGCCTTTGAAGAACTGAAAGCCATGAAATGGAAGCACCAGGCATCGAGAGGAATGAAGAGTATGCCTTTATTATTTTAATCTATTGTTCACATTTGACTGCCAACAAATGCACAGTTTTGTCTTCAACAGGGCCATGTTTCTCTTGCTGTATTAACCTGTTAAACAACTTGAATAACCAAAAACAAAAACAAACAAACAAAAAAAAAAAACAGGTGGCAAAATAGACTATAAAAATGCAGAATGATATATTTGTAAATAGATCAAAGCAAGACTGAATAAAACCTATTCTCTGTTCAAAATCAAAACATAGAAATGATTAAAATTGTTAAATTAAAATGCCAATTGTGAGTGACTTAGGGACATTCATTTCCTTTGGTAACTCAAGTTCTGATGGCTATGAGGAAAAATATGATAGAAGCAGCTGCTTAGTTTTATTTCTTTTAGGAAGAGTTGTCTAGGTATAAGTTGGTTCCTAGATCTTTTCAATCCAGTAAGTGTTTATTGGTCATTTTAGTTTTTCATTATGTACTGAAATAAATGACAGAATTTCCCCTGACTCTTCGTCCCAGTAGGTCCAGAGTGGAATTCCAGTCTATGCAGGATGTATCACACACTGTCACCCCCAGCCATGTTACAGAAAATTACAGTTAGATCCTTGAATGACCACTGAAGGCACTCTTGGTTCAGAGAGCATAACCATGAAACCTTTCCATCACAGTAAAATTTCTAATGAGAAGCACCAAATTGTAGGAAAAAAATTACCATTTTGACAGATTTTTGTATTTTATGAAAGTTCGTGGCCATATCTGTGTAAATAGACATTAGAAAAACTGTGGTAAGTTCTATTATGGGTAACAGAAATAAAAACCAAAAAAACAAGAAATAGCAGAAATAATAAGCTGATTATTTTAGCATAATAAGCTCTTTCTAAATGGTCAAAAGCAAGGAGGACTTTATAGATAAAAGAGGCAGTCCAGGTGAACGGAGGGATGCAGTTACCGAGCTTTGGACATGGGCTGGTCAGACATTGCCATACGCATGTGCGGTGACTTCATCATAATGCAAGTGAACGAATTGCTTCAACAGCTTGCACATTGATTGCTTGTACTTTCTTTTAAATTAGGAATCTTTATCTTCCATTTTACTATTTTAAATAGTTACAGGACTCATATTTTACTTATATTTTCATACTTTGCATATTTAAATTATTTCTATGTTTTACGTATTTCAAATTCTTCTTGCAGTTTCTCAGATATATGTATAGCTAAAGAACACTCATGACTTTCCAAGTTTATTATATATGTATAATATGATACATATATATTTTTAAAGATTAGTTTCCTTTTTTGTGTGTGAATCTTTTGCCTGAATTTTTTTGCATGTTTTTGGTGTTTTGAGAGACCAGAAGAAGACACCAGATAGCCCGCAGTTAGAGTTAAAGATGTTTTAAGTTGTCATAAGGGTGCTGGAAACCTAACCTTCATCCTATGCCAAGGCAACAAGTGCACTTAATAGCCTACAATTTCTCCAGTCTTAAATTTATGCTAGATGTAGAAAAATTATATGTGTTAGATTTTGCAAACTGTACTTCTAAAAATAGTGGCTGTAAATATTCATTTTTGCATCAGATAATAATTTTTAGAGAAATACTGTAGTTTTGCCTTTTGGGATAGTCTTACATTACACATCACAGCTCTGGCTGTTATGGTACTCACTACACAGCATAGACTGGCCCAAACTTCCAGTCATTCTCCTGCATCAGCCTCCTAAATGTATGATGGTAGTCAGTTATATATCTATAATATTCATTGTTAGCTTTGTTTCTACTTTTCTAATTTTTGTCTGACTATACATTATTTAATATTTAAAAGCTTTCTTTTTATATAGCAAAAAAACTATTTATTTAAAACTATATTTAAGCATATAAGTAACAGATACTTAAGAAGAATAAAGTACCTTCAAGTGTGATTATGACCTAGATAATAGGATATCAGAAAAGAATAAGAATATAAAGGAATGAGAGATAACTGTGTTAGGATAGATAGATCAATGGTTGGTTATAAAACCATGATTTGGAGATAGAAAAAAAAAAGGACAAACATTTTCTGGCACCTATAGGTGAGTTTTCCAAACTGGAGCTTAAATAATAGTTGACAAGCAAATTACATGACAATATAGTATTGAAGAAAGAAAATGTTTCGGATTAACCAGAGAGCCTCATCACTGCTATCTAGCTTTATTTTATTCATCTTTCATTGCAGTTTTTATTTATAGCAGTTGTGTTTAATACTTTTTCATTCAGAAATGTAGGCAGCTATCCCATTATAAAGAATAAATAGAAAATATAATGTAATAACATAACAGAATCTGTTGGAATGATATCAGTGAAAAAGTATTTCATATTCATATTTTAAAAAATGTCAATGATAGAATAATTTCTTCCAAATTTCAAATGGATTCTTGATTGACACATTTCAAATATTTTCAGTTTACACTATCACTGTTCAAAAGCTCGTTCATTTGAGGGTTAATATAATTAAAACACAGCTACTGGTATTAAAATCTAAAAGACAAAATTCAAAAGGAAAGGAGAAATTGGTGTTTGTTAAGCAATAGAAGTAATAATTGAACACTCAAAAAAAATCAGGAAAAACGTTGCCACTGCCTGTAAATTCTGATGAGGTTGCTTGAATTCTGAAAGAGATTCACAAAGCATTTTTAAACAGATTTTATCAGTCTGTATAATGATACTTGAATGCAGGTGTTCAGTGCTGACCAGTGCTATCGGATGTGTGCTCTTAAATAGGGATACCACTTCTTCCACATTTCTTACTTGTCTGTAGCTCTCAGTGCAGGGGTGAAGCCTCCTGTGCTCTGCCTGTCCACGTGAGTGTGTGTGTTAGTGTTGCCCTATTTCAGCTCATGACTAGTCAGTCAGGTGGATGAGACTTCATGAACAGATTGTACTTATCAATATGTAGCAAAAATTAATGAAAAAAGAGACAGCGAATGTGGAAAAGATCAAGATGGCAATGTGGGAAGACTTGTAGGCAGAAACGAAGAAGAAAAGATGATGTAATTCTAATAAAAAAAACTAAAATAAATAATTAACACAGAATTATTCAATGCATAGATAGACATCAAACAGTAAGCAGTTAAATCATTCTGTACTTACTTCATTTGTTTAACAATTGTACTTTTTCCAGATTCACCTGCTCCTGAAACAAAATGAAACAAACATTATTAACTGATACACTGAGTTTGTACTAATATTAATACCTACTATTTTATTGTGTGTAAATTTTTTCTTTTTTCTTTTTTTTTTTTTTTTAGTTTTTCGAAACAGGGTTTCTCTGTAGCTTTTTGTTCCTGTTCTGGAACTAGCTCTTGTAGACCAGGCTGGCCTCGAACTCACAGAGATCCGCCTGCCTCTGCCTCCCGAGTGCTGGTATTAAAGGTGTGCGCCACCACCGCCCGGCTTTGTGTGTAAATTTTTAACACCTTTATTAGCATAACTTCTAAAGCAAATACTTTGTAGTAATAGAGAAAATTACATTTTATGTTTATACATGATTTGAGATGCTTATATCCTAGGGTTTGCAGCACAAAGGCGTAACTCACAATTTCAGACTCTGAATAGTTTTTAACTCCTAAGATGACTCTGTGTCTCCGCTTGAATAAATGCTGAAAGGAAAAAAACCACAAAGAACTATATTGCCAGAACTCTTCGAACAGAAATCTACCCCGATTGAAACACGCTCTTCTCCTCAGCAGCCGGCAATACCTTTGCACAGAGCTGTAATTTCCTTTATCCTAAAGAATGAAGACTCTTGAGCTAACATGGGTGTGTCTCATGTCACAGGATCTGGGTGCACAGAGACAGATATGAGGGACCGGCATCGGGACTGGAGCTGTTACAGTCACCCTTATCTGTAACGTGTATTGCAGTATGTGATCCATTATATAAAATATTTTGGCGTACACTTGACTCTTGAAGCGTCATATAGAAAGACCCAAATACACATGATCCCTAACAAAGAGAGTAAGAACTCGGTCCAAACTTAGTGGCTGTTTTAAGGTGTCAGTCGGGACCTTTTGAAGGTATTTCTTGAAACTCTCTTGAGGTTAAGGACTTTTTTTTTTTTTTTTTGAGAAATGACAACTTAAAGTATAGCAATCACAGGTCATGACTTAGGTCCATTTCTTCTTCCTTTTAAACATTTTATTATTATTATGATTATTATTATTAATCATCATTATTATTTTACATACCAATCCAAGATCCTCCTCCTGTTCTTCCTTCCGTTCCCCCACCTCAATCCCTATCCACTCCTCCAAGAGGGTAAGGCCTCCCATGGGGAGTCAGCAAAGTCTGTCATTGAGAAAGGACCAAAGCCCTCCTCCCTGTACCCATGCAGGGAGCAAGGTACCCCTCCATAGAGAATGGGATCCAAATGCCAGGTCATGACCTAAGAATAAATCCTGGTCCCACCGCCAGTGGCCCCACATTTTGTATCTGGGTATGATAGGCAGTTATTCTGATTCATCAAAGTATCATAGTCTCAAAATAATAAACAAAAGGTAATTTGCATTTGATTAACTCAAGATCTAAAAACTTATTGAAACCATACTTAGGAATATGGATTAGAGCACACGGACACCACAATGTAGATTTCTTATCCTCCCTGCAACCCTTTGACCTTGACCTCTCCTCTCCTGCCTACCTTCTTCTCCACGCTTACAATTTTTTCATGTATCATTTTAAATTGTCATCCTCATCCATCATCGTATGATAAATTTCATATGAAAGAAATAATTCTTTGAACTTATATTTAAAAGATAACCTACCCCTAATCAAGAAGCTCTTTGTGATTAATAATTGCCTGCAAAAGCAAATCGGATTTCTCCAAAGGCATGTCCCTGAGTGCACCAACCTCACTCCAGGGCAGGTTCCATGCCCAAGAGCAATTGGCAATGGAAAGTGGACTCTTTTCTCTTATTATTTTTTTGATGTGGTTTATTTTGTTTTGATTTTTGAAAAGGGGGAGGGTTAGAGAGATCTTCAAAAAGTGTGCATAGGGAGTTGGGAGGATTTGGGAGGACATGGGAGAAAAAAATAACAACAAAACAATGTGATCAAAATGTATTGTATGAAATTACTTTAAAGAAAAACTAAATTTAAAAAATAGATTTTATTTTTTGTATGAGACAACCCTTTTTTTTTAATGAAGTATTTCTATATGGTTTTACATGTTTTCCTGAGCCTGGAGGAAGAGCCATGGGGGCATCTAAATTTAAGTCTATGATGCAGCAAATATTTATTGTCTCTGGCATATCATAATGTATCTGATTTCCACAGTTGTCTGAGCAGCTGCCTACCGTGTATAATACTGAAACACGAAGAGTGGTAAGACTGCAGTAAATAAGGCTTCGTCGACCTGTGGGTCTGTACGCTTCTTCCTCTCGCGTGAACAGCCGTGATTCTTCTCATTATTATGCTTGTGCGCTTTCTACCACGGGCCATGGAAGCTAAACACAGAGCCAGTGAATGCGGACTTCAAGCACAGGACCTTCATAGGCTTATTTACTTATTTCATTTACTTGTGAGGGCATGGTGTTAAATTAGGACCTGTGGGTTCTAGGTCCGACCAAAATACTGTAAGCGAACCCTGCGTCTGCAACCACAAGCAGCTGAAGGGGATACTGGGAACCAAGGGTCATCAGGCACAAGGACAGCCACATGGGCTCCCCTCCACTACATCAAATACATAGGCTTAGTTTAGTTTTGGTGACTTGAAGATTTCCGGCTGTGGGAATTTGGGAGGGAAATCAACAACTTTTCGCTGGGGCTTCAGTCCTATCCCTTGCAGGCTCACTTAGCACTGTATTTTGTTCAGTGAAAATCGTACTACTGGGGAAAAAAACTAGAGAATTTTAAAACTGAGCAAAGAATGCTTCATTTTATGAATATCAAAATAATCAATTGTATAATCAATTTAATAAAATTAAAGAGATTATGTATTGTCTACGATTTCTATAACAAAGTAAAAATTATTCATGGAGTATTTTCAATTAAAAGAAATATCAACCTTTAGAAAACAAGAAAATGTTTTATGAATTTCAAAACAGAGTACAGCTTGTAGGTAGAGTATATGTCTAGTATATGTGGGGCCATGAGTTTCATTTCTATCACAGTACACACATAAATAATATTCCAGAATTATATGGTCACATGTGTCATGGATCATGAGGACATGTGATAGCGCTTTGGAACCACTATTGGTCAAATTGAAACATCACAGACACAGTATCCTGGTTTATTTCTCTGTTATAGAATGCTCAAAATGGTGTCACACATTTGGAGGACAAAGGTGACTTTTAGGTTATCTCAGAGAGTAAATGTATATTCACAGTGATAACACACTTTTCTTATCCACTGGTAACAAACTAAGTTGATTCCAGAAGTTCCTGGAAAAGCACAAAACTCCTTATGCGCTCAGGTCTGTTGTGTGGTAGGGTGACATACCGGCTCATAGCTGATGCGTATCCACCACTGCGCTTTAAACCGCTAGGATCATTTATAATTCCAGTTGCAAAATAAATGTGATCCAAGCCATTGTCATTCCCTATTGCTGATAGAATCATGAGAATAAAAATCTCCATGTTCAATACAGGAGTCAATTTTTAAGCCGTTTTGATCTTTAATATTGGAACCACGGATGTGCCATCCAGGACAACCTAGGGCAGGGGTCAAAATCAGATGACAAACATACTGCAAACACTAGGAGCTGGAATTTCCCAAATTTTTTCTGAGCCTTTAGGGGTTGTAAGTATACAGCAATTCTCTGTAGCTTACCACGTAACTAATGATGTGCCTAAGGTAGGCAGAAGAGTTAGTTACTGTAAACTAATAAAAGAGCAGATAAAGTAGCTATTAAAGACTTAAAATCTATTTACTTTGCTCTGCATGGTGAGTTTGGTGTGCTAAGTGAAATTTTCATGCAGTTCATTGCATTATTGGCATAATTCCTATTTTAAAAATTTCACTACTTAGAACTCCATCTCAAAGTTGCTCAGAAAGGAACGGGTCGCTACCATTCTCACATTGACTGAAGCACTTAGTTCACAATCAGCACCCCATTCTTGTAGGATTAGATCATGTTACAGGGCTAAATATACGCATGACAGCACGTTTGCATATGCTGCGGGCATCCTAAAATAGCTCCTTCCTTCTAAGTGCTGGTCAAAACTTACATTATTTCCCGGGCTAAAGCATACCAGAGGAATTTTCACAAGATACACGCTTGTTTCTTTTAAGATGATTTTGTTTCATATAATAGTTAAATTTATAACTAATCTCCATTTAATATGCATTAGTTATTATAAATAATATAATATTGTTATCCAGAGATATGAAAGAATTTAAATCCGTATAATATCCATAGCTGTAAGTGAACTTTGCTGAATACACACAAGGCTTGATTGCTCATTTGGCTAAAGCAGGCAAGACGAGATTAAATAACTTGATATATATTCATATGTATGATAATTTTCTAGGCCATTAAAGTCATATAATTGTACAAAATGGAACATAGAGTGAGCAGCCTTGTAGATGATGTTGTTCTATGCAGACGAAAAATGAGAGCAGTAGAGATGAATGCATTCATATAAATTCTAGATCTACCTTCAGATGAACTCAAGTCTCCTGCTAATGCTCTTATTATATTGTTTCCAGGTATGAATTAGCAGAGAAATATTTAATATTTAAATGGTTTCAGACTGTTTGACTGCTCTAAGGTAAAGCAGAAGCACGCTTTTGTCATCATTGCTTGCAGTCAAAGGTCGGCTTCTCACATCTCATAGTTTTAAGGAATAACTTACTCCACTCGATAATTCTCATGAGTAAAATTAAAGATGTCTTTCTCTTCCCCATCACAATCCATCATAGCCTGGCCTCAAGTAGAGGAAAAAGGAAAAGGAAGAAGAAAGAGAAAAGAAAGGAACTATTAATGTACATGTGCTTTTGGTGTTAAGGAAATGTGTTTTGTTTCTTCAATTTAATTTATCTTCCTTATATTTCTCTGAGAGGGTAAGACCTCCCCTGGGGAGTCAACAAAGTCTGGCATACCAAGTAGAGGCACGACCAAGGCCCTCTTCCCTGTATCAAGGCTGAGCAAGGCATCCCACCAGGGGGAATGGGCTCCAAAAAGTCAATTCA